TAAATGCGATTTTAACAGTGTTCTGGTCGTTTATTGTTATTTTCATGGACAGGAGATTAATCTACGTTCTTTCAGCTTCAAATTGAATGTTTGATGAAGGCGTGACCTGTCCATATAACGTTGGAAGAGCTATTCAAATTGAACTAACCGGGGTACGCATGACGAGATACAGTGTGAACCGTTGCAAACAATTGCGATTTTAACAATGTTCCTGCGATTACTGGTTTCCAGCCGTTAGAGAATAGTAATCTACGTTCTTTAAACGGTTTATCTAATGCAAAACGAAGAAGAACCATGCCCGTTTACCGGTGTAAATGCGTTCGAAATCTATCGCAATTAGGGTTGCTGCCTCATAAGGGGCTACGGTAATACAGGCATAACTAATTTTACTAATTCAGGGGTTCTGCACTATGGGGTCCATGCAATAAGTCCTGAGGGACAATTTGAGACTAATGACGTTCATTTTAAGTGCTTAATTACTGAGATATTTGCATTTTTCTATTACTTGAAATTTTCACTCACCTGTCGATATAATTTGGCTAGCAGTTTCAGCGAATTGCCACGGGTGGCGCCACCGGTCGAAAAAGTAGTGGTACTCCACGATTTAATGCGATTTTAACAGTGTTGTAGTCGTTTATTGTTATTTTCAATGTCATGGGATTAATCTACGTTCTTTAAGCTTGAAACTGAATGCTTGATCAAGACGTAACCTGTCCATAGAACGTTGGAAGAGCTTTTTAAAGTGAACTAACCGGGGTACGCACGACGAGATACAGTGTCAACCGTTGCAAATAAAGTGTGATTTTAACTGTGTTGTGGTCGTTTATTGTTATTGCTACTGACAGGAGATTAATCGAAGTTCTTTAAGCTACACGTCGAATGCTTTGTCAAAACGAATGCTGTCCATGTAACGCCGTGAGACCTGTTTAAATATGAAGTAAACGAGGTGTGTTTGACGGGGTCAATAGACCGAGCTCGATACTCGTACAAGCAACAACAATAAAGAATTATGTTTCATAACTCTTGTGCATGCTCCGGGGGTTCTGTGACCCCACGTTCCACCACACACGGTCCCTGGCGCCACCTGTGGGCGAGAACGTGGGGTCATAGAACCCCCGGTGGAGGCGCCAGGGACGCCGTGTGATGAGAACGTGGGGTCACACAACCCCCGCAAGAGGCGCCATAGACCTTATCATTGTCACTGTTAAACTGTTGTAATAACAATGGAATAATAAAACAATTTACTCAAATGTACATAATAATGCTATATATTTCTATCGATTTCAAAGAGGTCGTGTGAGCTCGATTGTCTGGTGGCGAAAAAAATCGATTTTTGCGGTGTTCTCCATGAAGCTGTTCCACCACCAAGCAAAGGATTTAAAGTTCAAGAGAGTAAAATAAGGGAAGGAAATATAATTACACGATCAAATCATAAAGTAACACAAATACACACTCAAAATCACAATTTATCACAATGGATATGTAGGGGCTCAATCGATGGGACGTAAAAAGTAATTGATTTTTCAACGTTTTCAGTTTTTCTTTTTCAAGCACGGAATTTGAAGCACATAAAACGGTGATGATGTTAAAATGAATGATATAAGAAAGGAAGTACAATCAGACAGTTGAAATCGCAATTGATGTAAAGGAAGTTTGAGGCATCCAACTAACGATGAAAAGGTACTGATCATACTATAACGTTGTGTTATCGATCCAAGAATGTTTACGTTTCTCTGACCAAGGTTTTACTGAACAATTTTAAAAAGTTAAGTTAGAATAAAGACTTGTAACGTATTCATTGGAATTGGTCTTCGTTGATCGAACATGCTCCATTCTATTTCAGGAAATCCTTTCCATTTAACCCTCGTACCGTGTTCAAACTGTTATTAGTTTACTATAGTTTAAATGAAATTGAAACAAAAGTGAAATTGTGTTAAGGAAATCGTTTATTATTAGACTGTAATATGACTTTGCTATTGGTATGCAATTAATTCACTAACGTTTAATATAAGGGACATAATTAAAAAATTACGTTTCGAACTCGGGTCAAATCGACCTGAACAGTTCACGAGGTTTAAAAAAATGGTTTTGTTGACCACTATTTAAACACCACCAATTCTCATAAATATGTCTAGAATGAAACGCACGCGTTCACGGAGAAGAGAACAAAAAAATATTTGCACGCGGCGGCGTTCCCTTCGGTATTCGACTTGCATTCCCCTTTCTTTAACCTCATTTCCACGCAAAACTCGCATTGTTATGCCGTGTATAGGCATACGGCGGATAGAATGGGCTATAAGATCCGAAAAGTTAATTCATTCTGTGTATCGCCTCGTCGTTGTGCCTCCAATAAATAACAATATTTCAGAATAAATTTCAAGAGAAAGAAACACGATGCCCCGAATATATAGGGTGCTCAGAAAAAGAGTCTAAGACTTTGGGGCTTCTAGTATTTATCGACTAGACTAAAAAAGTGTTCAATCAACATAAGTCGTAAAATAAATCCTTTCGATGTAAAATCAATTTTTATATTTAAGAGTGTTTTATGTCGTAAGTAAGCCACTTCGCAATATAATGAACGCATACAGAAGAATTGGTTCTCAATTACTTTTCGTGGGGACACTTAAAAACATTTAAGTCTACTCATTGCCGATAAATAATTTTGTGGTGGTCTTACTGTAACGAATAGAATAATACGAGGCACGGAAGGAATATTTGACAATGTATCGTCCTACCCAAATCAAAAACGAAGACAAAGAAACGACAATCAAAAATCATTTTGACATTTACACGTCTTCAATGACTACTTTTTCTGCCATGTTGAAGAAGATATACCAGAGCTATTCCCAGTATTTCTATAATTATCATGAACAATACATCACACCAGAAGCAAACTAATTTAAATAAATGCAAATAAAAAGCGTGAATATCATACGAAAAATTCCTTGGTTTTTTTTTCGAAAACTTTTGGGATAAATCGTGTACAATCATTGAATGTTGCGTACATATGTATATAAACGAACATAGATCATCTTTCATGAGTAATTTTTGTACCGCTTCGTTAGGCAAGACTCTTCGAAACCCAGAAATAAAAACATATTTACCCAAATCCTTATTATTCAACAGGAAACAATTATTTCGCTTCGAAACCAGAGCCGCTCACTTTTCATCGATCAGAGAGCAAATAAAAATAGCCGTTAATCCGATTCCTTATTCGCCGTTTTTCTCCAGTAATCTTGATTTAGATAAACAATTCGTCCATCGTCAAGCATACTTAAGCCCTCTCGACAAAAAAAAAAAAAAAAAAAAAAAAAGGAGCACGAACAGAACCGTTCCATTCCATGCTCGCGTCAAGTACCAATTAATATTTCACCGGTTTATTTCCTCGCTTTTTCCCCGCAATTTCTTCTTTCGGCTGAAAAAAAATACTGGATACTCGTCCGGACACCTTTCGCTTTCACCCGTGGCCACTTTGAACAGTTACAACGTCGCCACTAAGAAACGCCTTAATTCGCCCCGTGTCTGCCCAGAATAAATTATTTCGTCGCGGCTGATTCCGCCGACACGTTCCAATTTAACGAATCCGTCCGAAAAAACAAACAATGTTTTCTGATCCCGATCCGGGAAAATCGCGAACGGACACTTTCCAAAGCGTTCCAGAAGTAACA